AAGCGGCCCTTGCCTGGTTTGGGCGGGTAGAAGGGCGTCGCTGAAAAGGCAGCTGGCCGACTTGTTCTGGTTTGCAAGGTGCTTGCAGCGCGAAGCAGCTAGTAGCTGTGTCGAACTTCGCTAGGCCACTGCCGCGCCGACCGCTCCAGCCAGGCGATCTCTGCTGGTACCAGGGCCATGCCCGGGAGTCTCCGCAGCACGTTAGGCCCGGGGCATTAAAATGCAGCCGCTTTACGAGAGAGACTCTTCGCTGTTGTTGCAGTACCGCAGACTCACTGCAGACTTACCCCTAAGACGTTTAATACCGATTTTCCAATATTAATTATGGTATTCAGTGTGTTAATTCGTGAGCTGCCCTGGCCATCGCATGTGTGTGCTGGGTATAACCATATTTGATCTCTGGCCAGCTAGAGTTTTGCTTGCACACCTGCTGCTCATCCATCTTTCTGTTTAAATTCTGAGTCAGTTACACTATGCTAACCCTCCACATTTTCCTTTTTCTCTAATACTTTTAGTTTCCTAGATTCTAGAAAGCTGACTACTGTTTCTACGTCACTTAAATGTGTTCATAACGGCATGAATGATGGTTCTGCTCCCTCTCCCATCGAAGACCGTTTCAGGGAGGGAAGAATACTCAGCAGAGGGACTGGTTTTTGCATGTTGGATCTTTGTCTACAGAAGAGGCCTGCTCTCTTCCTGCAGCAGCCTTTATTGTCTGTTGAGCTTCTCCAGAAGAGAAGCGATGAGGAGTAGGATGGTGGTCAGTGAGGAAGAAAAGACAGTTAAATTTAAAGTTACCAATATGCAAGTCCAATTCTGTCTCTCTTACTGGTTGTAAATGGATTCCGAGGGAATATGTAAGAACAGAGAAGGTGTATTTGCTTTAATCTGATAATGTTGTTCTGGTTTCCAGGTATGTGTAGCTGTAGGGACTTCATGAGTTGCATGTCACTTCTGTGCACTGAGGACCCCTCAAAGTATTCCCCTTCCTTTTTTGATTGCTACTCACTATTGAGTTGATGTTCTCGTAGAACTCTACCCCACTCCAAGGTCTCTCTTGAGAAATGAGGCTAATGTCTCACCCAGACTGATGGGTTTTTTTAATTATTATTTGCTTATTTGTAAATGTCTAGTCTAACAGACCTGTGTGGATAGCTCTGTATTGATCATCAGGACAGTATAATTGCTCTGTGTGGTTTTTAGTTTTAGAGTACAATACGCAGAGAAGGCAAGAGTGTTCATAACTAGAATGGTTCAGAGCTTTAAGCTTAGGGCTTTAAATTTAGATAAATAGTATGATCTAGGTCTTGTATTATTTTGTGTTTCAGTTACTTTTGGCAGTTTCTTGGTCTAACGAGTCTATATGAATCCTTTTGGTTTCAGACGAGTAAGAGGGACAGGTTCTGGTCTAAAACGGTGTTCTTGTGATTATCAGTGACTGATTGTGTATGTACTGTGGTACAGAAGATAGCACATAACTTGCCAAACTGGGTGGGAAAATTGATGACATTGTATAGTAACTGAAATAAAAAGTCCATTTTAGGATATGGTTTTAAGAAGAAACTTTTAAGGGTATTCTTATTAATGTCTGGGATTTGGCATGTTCAACATACAGCTGTTTTTTTTAGAAGTCTTACATTGCAAAGAAGCTTGCCTTGTCTATTTCCATAATTTGGGAATTTTCCTTTTTGAAATGAAAAAAAATAAACACAGCTCATAAAACAGTCCTGTTTAAATTCCCTTCTCTTTTTGCAGCAGATGGAATGCAAGTAAAACCAGAAAAAACAGGAGTTTCTGTAAAGAATGTGAAAAAAGATACAGTAGTACCAGAGAAACTTAAATATAAGCCACTCACTGGGAAGGTGTTTTACCTCGATATTCCATCAAATGTGATCTCTGAAAAAATAGGAAAGGACCTCAAAGAGCTAGGAGGGGTAAGTCAGTGAGCTGAGACCTTCATGAAACCAGAAGAAAGTCTGTGCGTGTGGAGTACCTTTTCCTTGTTTGTTGTGGGTTGTGTTTTGTTGTTTTGGTTTTTTTTTTTTTTTGGTGACTGCATTTTAATGTTAGTTGTATCTCCTATGTGACAGGAATTTGTTTGTTGTAATGTTTAGTATGAACAATTAGCTTATCAACAGATTATTTTGGGACTTTTTTTTGCTAGAAGCTCCTTTGCTAATTTTAACAAAAGTGTTTATTACAAAAACTTGTTTTCAGTTAACTATTCACTTGATTAAAATCTTACTCAAATTTATTAAGTTACGTTGTTTGGGATGATTTTTTTCTTTGCTGCTTCTGACTGTATCGGCATGTTCACATGTTACAACTGAAGTTATTCAGCAGAACCTGAAAGGGACTAGAGGAAGTGTTTTGCATAGGCTTACTAAAAGTCAGTAACTTCAATAAGTACTTTTTGCAGAGAGTATGTTAGTATTTTTAAATACTCTTAATTTTTATAGGCATCTTAATGCTTTATTTCCTCTAATTCTTTTTTCTGTATGGAAGGAACACTTTGAAACAAGCAAGCACAGGATATCATAGTAATACACAAGCAATGCAATTGCTTAGTCCACTTGGAAGTTGATTTATTTTGAATGAGTGTAGAGGAATCATGGAATTTAAAGTATTAAATACCCTTTAACCACAGAAGCAAAAGAGATCTGCTTACATTGCCAGCTCTTCTGAGTGGTGCTTTGGCAATACTACTTTGATCTCAGAGGAGCACTGAGCAGTTCTGTGAAATTCACGCTTGTAAATCAAGTTGCTGTCTGAAATTATAGTAGCAGCAATGAACAGCAACAATATGGTTTCAAGCTAAGTGCATCTCTTTACTTTTAGTATTAAATGAATGCACGCTGTCTTTTGTCTTTCTCTCTAAAACAGAATTTTAGGAATTAGTATGTGAAAGGTAAGGTTGCAAATCAGAGACTGAACAGGAAGTTTTTCTGTTTTATTCTGAGGAGTATATACCTAACTGACATGTCCAGTGCCCTCAAGATCAACTACTACGTGCGTTCCTTTGTACACTCAAAAAGTGCCTCTCTGTCCCATTTCTGTAAAAGATAGAGTAGAATTGGAAGGCAGAGTTTCAAGCTTGCTGCCTGTGCAATTTTACAAGCTACATAAACTGGCAAAAAACAGCAAGGAAAATAAGAGTCAATACTCAAGCAACGCTTGGCAACAAAAGACTGAAGGAGCAAAATGCAAGGGATCAAGCATAATATAACCACATATTTGTCTTGCCAAGTATGAAAATGTTAGGAATCTACTTAAGTCTTCTACATTTTTGAGAAGTGTTACGAAACGTGTAGGTGTGAAATGTAGTAACTATCCTGAAATTTTAGAACAAACAGAAGAATTAAACTTAATGAATTTATAGTGGCTTGCAAACTGTAACTTACATTTGCACACACATGTTCAGCTGAACACTTCTGTGTAATGTATGTTACATAAAACGATCTAAACTGTAACTTTCCTTCAGTTATTCTGTTACTTCTCAGTGCAGTGTTTGAATTATTCTGCTTGGAAAGTATTACAGCTATATAGTTCAAAGAATGATAATAATTGAAACAAAGCAAAGCTCTTTTGATAGAGATTACAAAATTAAGAAATTGAAGTTAGAATTTCTGACTGGTAAGATGCCACTACAGTTCAATTGTAATTATCATCCAGGTCTTTAGAACATATTGTCTCATCAATTCAATGTTTTTGAACTTAATTATTGTAGAAATATTGTCATTTTAAAGTATGTAATGTAAAATTGAGTTACTGATTTATTGTCCTGAAATAATTGTTTTCTTTATATCTTCATATTTAGAGAGTGGAGAACTTTCTTAGTAAAGATATCAACTATCTGGTGTCTAATAAGAAGGAAGCAAAATTTGCACCAACTCTTGGTCAGATTTCTCCTGTTCCTAGCCCAGAAGCAGTACGTAATGGAGGAAATAGCTCGCCTCATCCTAGCAACCAAAAAGATCGACGTGATGGAAGTTCATTTAAGATAGCAGATCCAGTAAGTTTCTTCATAATAATACTGAAAATCAGGTACAACCCATGGGATATGCTCTTTTCTCCTGTTTTGTTTCCTAAAGATGGCAACAGTTCCTTGGGAGAAAAAGGTTTTGGTTTTTTTATTTTAGCTTGTGTGGTGTGGTTTTGCTGGGTTGTCTTTGGTGTTTGCTTGTTGTTTTGGTTTGTTTTTTTAAACAGGTCAAACATACTTTTAAAATAATTCAGGTTAACGTGCAATTCACGTTAATTGCAACCGTTAATAGCTCAGTTTTTGCAGGTACATAGGCAAATCTTGTATCCTTTCAAAACACAGTTAGAAACAATTAGCTGTACTGTGTTGTCGTGGTTTAACCACAACAGGGTACTTAGAAACACGACTGAGAGCCCATGTGTGGGCAGGTCTTTGCGATGCGTAGGTGATATCACCTCGTTTTGCAAATAACCTGGGTAGGTAAAAGGCATGCTGGTTAGGAACAAACAGCATACAGTACCAGAGGAGATGCTCTGGTGATAGCAGAGATGGGGATAAGGTGGAGGCTATGATTCTGTTCGTGACTGTTAGCTTAACGTGGCACAAGTCCCGCTGATGAAACCTCATTTTGTGATGTGTGGTACTGGCTGCATATTACCACCGTGTGTGTTCTTCCAGCGCTAACGCTGCTTCAGCCGTGCAGTCACCAGCTCTGGCTGAAAACAGCTACTTGTTGGTTTGTTTGACTTTTCCTTTATTTTTCTCCCAGGCTGTGGGGGACATGCGAGTTAATGAAAAATGGCAGGACAGTAAACAAAAGGAGACTATCATAGCTCAAACTTTCTAGCAGCAACGTGTTTTAGCTTTTGTCGTTTTGAAATGAGTTCTAACTTGCCACAAACTTGTTTCTATTTTAATATAGGTACGTATGAGCAGAGGAAGATCCTTAGTTGAAAAAGCAATCAAAGAGCAGGTAAGTCTCTGTGCTTGAGAGACTCTGGTTTTCCTCTTCTAGAAAAATCATCAGTAGTAAGGGTGGTCTTAAGGGAGAATTCCCTCATGGAATGCTCGGGCAGAAGTCAAGGGCCTGTCCTAAGTAAAACTGTCAAGTCATGCTTTCTGGGTACTTCTTGAAGAACTGAAAGTCTGTGGAGTCTTACGACCACTCCTCTAATGTGTCAGGATTGCTGATACAGCTAGCATTTGAAAGGTGCTCATGAAGTTTAAAGTAAATGTATAACTTCACTGTCTTCAAATGTTAGTTACTATCAAATGTGACAGTAGAGAACAATTTTGGCTCTATGTAAGGTTAAATATAACTTTTTGATGGTGAAGTGCTGTGACACGGAGTTGGAGAAGTCAGTTGAGAGTTATAGTCTTTTGGCAAGAAGTAAAGCATTTGTGCTTTGATCTCAGCTTTCATATTACATGTTGTCATATATTTGTAATTGTTTTACATAATCTACTGCATATTGCTTAAAATTATTAATAAAATTTATTGTTTGCAGGACTTAATCCCCTCTGGTAGCATATTATCCAACGCTTTGAGCTGGGGAGTGAAGATACTTCATATTGATGGTAAATATTTCTGTGGGGTGAAGCCTAACTTGCACTTGGAACATTTATTTAGTGGTTTGATGATTTCAAAATACTAAAGATGACTAATTACTTCAAACATACACAGATAAACTCAGCAAAGTGTAATTCTCCTTCTTTTTGCCAGATGTTAAGAATTACATTGAACAAAAGAAAAAGGAACTGTACCTAATCAAAAGAGCAGGCAGTTCTAAAGATGTGGTAAGTGGCTCTTCGCCATTTGTGAAAATGCCATTTGTTTCACTAACCAAGAAAACGCAGGTGTACTAAATGCTGTCTACTGTGAAGCTTATAGATTTTATTTTAATAACATGTTCTTTTTTTCACAGGCCGGTATGTTTTACGAATTGATTTAAAACCCATATTTGAAAAATAGACAGTATTAGCTACACATTTCAGCGTTATTCAAAAATAACTTCCATAGCAGTATTGGTTAAATGATGTGTAGACCTTTGCTCTATAAGGGACCTCTCAGAATCAGAAGTACTGAACTGTCTGAAATGTCCATCCTGCCTACCTCAAAAATAATAAATAATGATTTTTAAAAATGTAGCATGGTTTTAGTGTGATGTGGACAGTGGTTGAGTTGCCTTGTGTAACTGTCCCTATGACAAAATGATTAGAAACCCTTTCCTTTTGATGGACCATTTTGAAGAATCACGGTTGTGTTTCCTGAAGAAATGCTCACGGGAATCTGTGTCAGTTGCTCAGCTCTGCATATTTTCCTTCCTAGTCTTGTAAAGAACTAGCAAAAAGCATCTTTGAGCTATTCTGACAATAACATGCAGTTGGCGTGTGGATTTTAGTGTATGATGTAGCCAGACACTGAAACTCTTCTAGCCGCTTGTGCACCCCATCTGCAGTTGCTCTGTCATTTAAATTAAACACGTGAAATTATACAATTGTCTAGGCAGGGCTCTGTGAAAACTAAATGGAAACATACCATCGAGTCTTATGTTGTTCTAGACTGCAATGTTGGCTAATTATTGGGGCCACATGAAATCCTCTGTTACATCATCAGTGTATGTTCATGATCAGTGTATCAGTTCATGGATTGCAGGGTGGGCAATTTCTTGGCAATTAGTATAAAATATGAGTTCTTACCTTTACCAAAACCAGTTACAGCTGATGCTTGACTGTAGGCCTCTCTCTTTTCTGAAAACAAAATACTCCATTTAATCTTCATTGATAAAAAAACCTAAATGTTCAAAAAACCCCAAATCCTGTGTACATACGTTCAAATGAGAATTGTGTTAACTGAAGAATGTCGCTATCTGCAGTTTTTGGTGGCATTTTACAGCTCGTAGTTAATGAGCATTTGTAAAGTGTTGGAAGAATGTTATCTGTACTTGCAAATCTACTTTCAACTATGGCAAGGTATTTTGGGGGTGGAGAGAGATTAAGTGAATTTATCTGCCTGGGTTTTTTGTTTGGTTTTGGTTTTAGGAAAAATTAATTGAAACATCTCAAGGAGAACACTTTTGTGGTACAGAAACACGTATTTCTTTGTTAAACCTGTCATCGTATTTCTGAAGTACTCATGAGCTTAGTTTCCTGCAGAATTTCTCATGACTGTGTATGAAATTATGGTTAACACAGGGAGACCATCATAACTTAAAGCTAGCCACAGCAAAATCTTTAGTAAAAGGCAGAATAATATTCACAGGAATTTTATAACTTCTCTCTCTTTTTTTTTTTTTTTCAATAGGGAAAACAAGATAATGCTCCAAAGTTAAGAAGTAAGTGTTGCAATATTTGTTGAGTTCTTTGGTTTGCCTTACATTCTGAACACTTAGAAGTGTACTGCAGTTGTCAGCTGGTCAAGTGTGTGCTGCTGTATTCTAATCTGTCTAAGAAAAGCAGGTAGAAAAACATGGAAATCAAGAGTTTGTCAAAACATGTACATTATGAGTTTGAAAATTATATGTGCTTATCTATTCAGCTACTGGAGTAAGGTGCTGAATGAAGAAAAGTATTTCTCTCTTAGTTTCTTTTTCTCCCCCTTGAGCAGGTAAACTGAAAAATCCATTTGTCAAGGTGGAAGACCGAAGTCGGTATGTGTTCTCTTCATGCATTCAATAATGTGGTCTGAAAATGAGTAATTCAGAAACATGTAGTGTGCCTTGAGAAAGTGGCCTTCAGATTTCAATTTCCTTCTGCTTCCTGACTTCAGATGTCTTGTAACAAAATACAAAATCTTCGTCTCTGGGTAGCTGTGTGTGTTTAGCCACTAAATGAGATGGAGCAGTTACTGTTACAGTAGGGTATATTTGCAATAGGGAATGGAAGTGGAATGGAAGACACAAGAGTGGGTTCTTTGGGTTACTTTCTGCCAAGGACCATAAGAGTGAAAAGGAAACCTGGAAGCTTTGAACTTTGACATCTTTTCTTAGATCCAAATTCTATAGCTCAAAAGGCTGATAGGAATTTGTGTATTAAATTCCAGTCCTGTATCCCAACTGAGTAACAGTCACCTCCTGCAGAGACTGTTTAGATGTAGGGAATGGGAAGTTGTTCTAGTTAAAATCTTCCCTTGAAATTAGGTTTAATTTCCTGTTCAATCATCTTTTTAGAAGGAGAAAAGAAAAGGTATTAGCCTGTTTCAGTATCCACAGTAGCATGAAATCGGGTATTTTCAGCCAGTAAAATTTTCGCATCTTTCTGGTGCTGTAATTGATCAGACCTCACTGTGTAAGGACATACCAGTTTGCCAGAAGTTAAGAGAATGATGGGTTCTGAAGAAGTGCAGTTCTGCATGGCATGTTTTGCACCTTTATATTCTTAATTAACTTCTGCTTGATGATGATGATGATTGTAAGCTCCAGATTCTTTGACCTGATTTCTTTGACACTTTCCCGAATTGAAAAAAGACCTAAACCTGGTCTTACACTGTGAGGTGGTGTATTAGGTTTGAGGGGCATGAGGATAGTGGGGAGAATTGGACAAACACAGTTGTACGTACAAGAAATTGGTATGTGAATATGTGTGACACTGACTTCTGAACGTAGCCGTGTACCAAAGACCTGAAACGCTTTATGTAACATAAAGAAATGTTTTTTAATGTTTAAATGTTTATGCAACATAAGTGACAGCTCAGAACCAGAACAATATGCTTAGCTGTCCCTGTTACGTTTTCCGGCCTTGCTATTCTTCTTCTGCCTGTAGAGCTTGTAATAGTAATGTGGGTGAAAAAAATCAGTCTGAACTCTGGCATTGGCATTTCAGTCAAATGATTCAGTATGTGAACTTCTGGCATTCCCTATTTTAAACATTTTTAATATATTCAGAGCAATGGTATAGTTGCTAGTTCTGATATCTTTCTAAGTAAAACACTCTAGAGGAAAACTATCTTTCTGGAAAATGAAAAGGTCAGGTTTTATGTTTTGAATGGTGAATTGATTAACATTTGTCAAAAAGGAAGACAATTTTTAAATGGGGGAAAAAAAGTAACGCATTGGATGTTAGGAACTGCTGTAGCTACTTCTCAGGAACACAGAGGCACCATCATCCAAGTTCTTAGTTTTATTGGTTACCCAGCTCTCAACAATAAATAGGCATGAAAGCCATACCCCAAGGAATGTGTAAGACAGCTATGGAAACTCAAGGCAAATCTATTTTAAGACAGTATGAAGTTGATAGGAAAGAATGCCTTATTTTCTGAAATTCATCTGCTTAGCATTCTGCGTACATGTAGAAGAGAAACACTTCTTCCAGCTTTTTGACTTGATCTTTAATTTGTGCTGTGAAGTCCTTTTTCTATTTCTGATGGTCCTAAAGCACTTGTTTTGTCTAATGCAGCCGCTACCGGCCGTTTTACCTGCAGTTACCCAGTTTTCCAGTTCTCAACTACTGCGTTCCGAAACCGTTTAGTCCATTTGAGGTGGATAAGAAGTATCTTTCTGGGCAAAAGCAAACTCAGTCTAAGCAAAGGTTTGTTGAAAACTTGTTACTGTGTGGATAGAGGGCGGTTCTCTAAAATCTAAAGTAATTTGTTTCTAAAACAATTGCTCTGCTTCTGTTTTTTTTGTGATATTGAATACTAATAGCGGTGTCTCAGCTGATGTATTTGCTGCACTGTAACTGCTGGTGTCTGTCTGTCTTTCTGTACCCTCTTTATCCTCTCTTTAGTCCTTTTTTTTTGGACATACAGATGCGTACATCCAAAAATGCGGCCTTCTCCTATCACTGTGGGTCAGCATAAGATATTTTTTTCCTTTCTGCCACTGGTTTCTTCTTTGTCCTCACCTTGGATGCCATCCAGTAAGTATTTTACAGGAAGTGGATTTTTTAAGACTTCTTTTGATATTTGTCAGGATAAATGCTGAAGTAGGCAGTTAAAAATTTGTAAGATGGTGATGATCAGTGATAGTGAAAAAAGCGTTGTTGATAAGGAGTGCACCTTGTTCATAGTCTGTAGAAATTAGATTCTGCAGATACTGCTTCAGCTCTTCAGAGGTGAAAAGTGGATTTGCAGTTGGTCTTACAGCAAGTGTTCATGTGATACATTTTGGCATTTGGGCTCTGTTTGAGCACTCCAGATGCAGTTAGGATTTTGCTAAGTCAATGTTGTGATTTGAAACTACTTAGGGGGCTTAATTACCTGGTTTTTTTTTGAATCAAACTATGGTTTTGATTTTTTTTTTCTACCTGGCCTTTCTGATTTAGTACTGAGTCTTTCATTGACTTCTAAAATTGGTTCATGTGAGAAGCTAAAGATACTTAGGTGAAAGGTAGCTTTGCTGTATGTGGAACTTTGTGTGTCGTTTGCTGCTTTTCTATCGTTGGAGACTTATTTAAATTTGATGCTTGTTCACTTTATAAAATAACTTCTCCACTGTTGAGGTTCTGTCCGGTCTTCACCATTATTATAGTGCTGGAGGTTTTCAGCTGATGTTGCCATGATGATTTTGTGTTTGTTTGTTTTTCTCAGTGAATGTAGTAGTATGAAAAAGCCAAGCAAATATCGTATCGACAGTAACCCTTGCAATAGTAAGGCAATTTCTGGTGGTGTCTCTGCAGAGGAGGTTAGAAAGGCCCATTCTTTCTAAAGCATTTTAAAAAAAGGGGGGGGAATATTATTTTAATTTGTGTGGATTAAGGAATATGATATATTAAAAAAAAATTAAGGGTTATGTCTGAAAGAATATTCCTATTTAATCTGTCAGATTGGCATATGCCAGAGAGGTACTTAGGTGAGGGATTATTTCATACTCAGCAGGTGAATGTGAGAAATAGGAGTTTCAGGAGAGAAAGGGGAGCGCCCGCTTGTTTCAGCTGTCTGAGGGAAAAGCTTGTTGAAGCCAAGTTGTCAGTTTTACCTGCTGCTGCATCGGGCAAGACCTGCAGGCATTAGTGGGGGTTCAGATTATAAATGCCTTTGCTTATACTCCGATTTTACTGGTTCTCTGTGACTTTTACAGTTCTAAAGAGGGGTGAAAAGGCTAGTGTAATAGTGAAAGTACACAGTTAGGTGGAGACTGTCCTGTGGAACTCAAGGAGTGCTGGGGCAGGTGACACCGATTTGGACTTGTTGATTGAAAGCAGTTGTTGAAAGCAGTGTCCACTTACTACACTGAGCAATACATTGCTATGCTTTGTAAGGGAGAGGTTTTTTTTCGGGACAGGTTTTTTGACGTAAAGTCCTGAGCTTACATCTGTGCAGATACTTGGTAAAGTCTGTCAGGGTGATTTTTGGGTAGACAGGGAGAGGGCACTATTCCTCTGAAGTAAGAGGGAAGGATGTTGCTTTACCACTAGCATCCTTCAGGGTTGAATAATGAATTGGAGCAAACAGTAGCTCTCCCCAGATGAGTAATCTGAAGGTTATGGAGCAGCTGTTGAAAACTTCTCTGTGTTTTAATCTCCGTGGAGAACGTGAGGTTCGTTTCCTTGTATTTCCATTTAGCCTGTACCTAGAAAAACAGGCCGAAATGGCATTTGGCCAGCGTATTCCAAAGCTGCGTGTAACCAAGGAATACAACTGTTCTTTACTTTTACTGGAAACTGACATGTCATCTTTTAGACCTCGTGTTCTTGCTGTGTGTTTGATCAACTGGCAGTTGATGAGATCTTAGAAGATAATTTTTTCTTTTTATTTTTTTTATGAAGCCTTATGCACAGCGATTTCAATACGTTCTTTGATTTGAGGTATTTTGTTTAGCAGTGTTGCACTGTTTATTCTGTATGTCTGTACTAACCTGGTGGGTTTATGCTTATGTGTAGTTACACTGGCTCTGCCTGTCTTGTTGCAGTAACTACATTTTTTTTAATTAATGCATAATTTTTCTCTTTGTTTTTCTTGTGTTGATTAACATAATGGAAATAGTTTGAGGTGAAATAAAGTTTGGTTTTGTTTTTTGTTTTTGTGTTTTTTTCCAATTAAGTAAATAAGAATGAACGCACTGTGAAAGGCAAATATAGACCTCAGCTCCGTATTTGAGACTCATTAATGTATCTTCTCTGTTAACAGAAACAAAATAAATAGTGACAAGGACAGTGGAACTCCTGTTCAGCTCCCTCAGAAGGACAAAAGAAAGAGAGGATATTGTGAATGTTGCGGGAAGAAATACGAAGATCTGCAAACGGTATGTGAAATGTCAAGTATGTGCTTTGATCTGAAGTGTAATATCAAAAATAATTCTTACTTGCTAGTTTTATATATTTTTTTGTCTTGAAAGATTTTCTGAATATATATCCTAAAAAGCAGCAAGTGGATTTTTTTTTTCCCTTACAGTTTTTAATTCTTGATTGCCTATATGTATGATAGCTGAAGGCACTAATAGTTCATGTCTCAGAGACACTGGTAATAAATTAATGGCACTTAATGCTCTATATTACACACTTGATGTGTATCTTGTTGTGGATGCCCCATCCCTGGATGTCTTCAAGGCCAGGCTGGATGAGGCTTTGAGCAGCGTGGTCAAAGGTCAAATGTGGAAGGTGTCCCTGCCCATGGCAGGGGGGTTGGAACTAGATGATCTTTAAGGTCCCTTCCAACCCAAACCATTCTGTGATTCTATGATCTTCGTATCTGGAGTACTAGATTTGTCTTATGCGTTTTCTTTAATTCCAGCATCTTGAAAGTGAACAGCACCAAAATTTTGCACAAAGCACACAGTATCAAGTTGTTGATGATATAATTTCAAAGTTTGTTTATGAGTTTGTGGAATACAAAGAGGATGCAAAGGAAATAAAAAGGTAAGTTACATGTTCTGCATTTTAAAGACCCCGTGAGTTAAGACACTGGACACAAAGATACTTTGTTCTGGATGTGGTTCAGAATAAATTCATCTTTTTCAGTCTGACATAAATCACTGTAATTTGCAGTACCTGGAAAACAGGTTTTTTTAAAGCAGAAATTTGGGGGGAAAACCAACCAAACAAAAGACCCCCACAAACATTAGAAGTGAAGGTGCCATCACAGGAAAATGAGACTCAGAGGTAATTGCCAAAAGTTGTCCTACCATGCTGTTGGCTTCAGAAAAGCAAGATCTACTGTAGTAAAGGATCTCTGACAGGAGGACAGCAGTGTCTGGACATCTTTCTCTAAAAACTTTCTGACATTCTTAGTACCACAAATGATACCTTCCTCGGTCAATCTGATTTCCTTACCCGTGGAAAAAACATTTCCTGGTCTAATGTAGATCTTCCTGTCTATACTCTTAAGGCTCTTGGCCTCTGTCCTGCCTGTGCTGGGCAAAGAAAGCAGGTTTTCTATTCTTCTTCATAGCTCAAAAGCTTAAATGGGAGAGAAGGACTTGGTTCATGTCTTGGACTGTAAGCACCACTGTCTTCATTACTTGGAGCAATAACTCAATTCAAGATTGCTCTGATTTGTTTGCAAATGAGTCAGGAGATAAGGCATAACTTTCTAATTCATTTAAAGGAAAAAAAAAAAGGTACTGAAGAAATAAAGATATCAAAGGAAATGCATATAGAGCCAAACAGCTGATAGCTTAATGATGGCAAGCCTTTATTTCATTTGTGACTTAAAAATACTCAGAGTGGTTAGGTTTGAAATACTATGTTAAGAAAAGCATACGTAATTATGCTAATTTTGTGTGTATATAGCATAAAATATGTGTAAGTATTTAATCATTGCATTATATTCATTAAGTTCTTTTGTTCTTAATGCCACTGTGAACTGAGATTTACTGAAACACTAGACTGCTTACTTCATGTATTTTTAAAACTATTTTATGAGCTGAAGAAATCATTAAGAAAGCATCAAATAGAAGGCACTCTGTTCCTGTAGACATAGAGCGTTCCTACCCTAAACATTCTTTCCTTTAAATGTAAAACCAAAACTGGCTTTGTCAGTTTGGTTGCTTTTCTAGAATCAGTTGCATCGGGAGCTACGTTACCCAAGTCTCTTTCAAGTGCTTATTAATAATTTTAAACGGTTTCATTGTAGGACGAAGTGTAGCACAGGCTTTTTTTCTCCTCTTACTGGAAAGGCGGCTAAACCAGACGAGCTGAAAGAGAGACTGAAGAAGCAACGCGTTTCATTGACAAGTTACTTGTGGAAGGATACCGCAATGCGGGCACTCACACTGGACCGCCAGCCTGCAGAACTACAGCCAAACTCTGTGCCAGTACCTACCCCTGTTTCTGGATCTGTCTGTTCAGTTCTCTGTCACCTGTCACAGTCTTCAGAACTAAGAAGTAAGTTCAGAAACAATGACGAAAACATTAAAACTGATTGCTCCTGGGCTGGAAACGTAAGAGAGACTGTTTTACATTCGGATTTTGCGCAACCACCCCCTCAGAAAGGTGACACAGCGTACATGGGGAACTTTTCTAGAGATTGTGAGCCATTCAGTAAAGAAATACGGGAACCAGAAGTAAATGAATACAATTTACAGTGTTTTCAGGAAGGCATGTGGACTTCATATTCTCATACTCAGTTTACAGATTTTAGAGAAAAAGATAAAAACCCATCACAGCCAAAACGAAAATTAACTAACACAGTAGTTCTACCAGCAAAGTGTTTGGAAAAAAACGATGCCAATCCTGCATTTGTCAATAAACATGATTATCACGCGAATCGCCAGCAGGTGCAGCACGGTGTCGTTCTGGTACCAGACACTGCTGAAAAAAAAGAACTTACTGAATCGGCTGCCAGCCCTGCGCACAGCTCGCCACCTGGAAAACTGCGCAGAAGAGTGAAGCTTCACTTGGGAAGAAATAAAAGAGAGACCCGGAAACAGAATATGGGGTTACATGTGAAGTCCACAGATAGACTCTCCGTTCCTCAGGAGAAGTTCTTGTAGCTCAGCAGTGCAGGGCCTGTTGGAATTATATCAGACAAGTGAAACAAAATGAGAATGTGGAGGGTTTTCAGGTGACACTGAGAGCAAACCTTCAATTAGCATAAAGGACACACGGGACGGGCAGAATACAGATGTTACATGGTCACTGTTTTCATCCTCATCTCCTTTTGTTGGATTTTAATGCTGCTTTATTTAATATAATTTTCAAATGAACGTGAAAACTTAAAATTTTATTCATGGAAACTTTAATTGCTGTATGATATGTATAGATTGTTTGGTTTTCAAGTTTTCTAATGCAAAAACTTCTGTATATATGAAAAATAAAGCTAAGGTACTGGTTTGGGTTGTTTTCTTAAAAGGTACTGCTTTGTCACAGCTCATGAAAGGCTCTGACCCCAGATTTGGGGTTAAATTAATTGCTAGGCAACCTGTAAGCATGATGTAGCTGCATTTGAGTAGAGTAATACTCTAAAATCCTTGATTATGGTATGTTCTAAATAACCATATTACAAAGAACTGGATGTTACATTGTAAATAAGGCAGGCCATTACTCCTAATGTTTTGTGGAGATTTAGTTGCGTCCTTTCCTATTCCTCCTGCCGCTGCTTCATTAGAGAATGCGGAATAAAAAAAGTCACTTGCTTCCCTAATATTTCTTTTGCTGAAATTGTTTCGGGGAACCTACGTAATCACAAAAAAATAGGATTAGGACAGCGTGTATTATATTTTTTGGCTGCGCTGACATCAGATTAAAAGTAGCTGTATTGTGTATGTGAGCCGATAGGAAAGCAGGTGATGTATGCTTTAATTTTTCTTTATAAAAAAACGAGAGAGCAGCAGTGCCAGCTACCACCAAACAGCCAGTAGGTTTCCGATGGAGTGGGGTTGCGTGGATTTTGCTTTCAGAGCAGCCGGCCTGCCTAGCTTACGCAGAGACACAAGTGGGAACTGGGAAGACTTTTTTTTTGCTTCAAATCTTGACCAGAGCCGATCTCTTTCAGGATTTCCACATCTGTAAATCAGTGCAGGGTATGGAATTGCAGTGGAAGTAATTGCCAAGCTTTATTAGTAAGTGTAACTGCCTTAAGGTCACAGATGGAAACCAGCAGAAATTACTCTCATTAATTTTTGCATGTATGACTTGTTTGTATTTTTATCTCGTGCCCATTTAATATTCCCAGAGCTCCTCTGTCGGTGTTCTTGGGGCTGAAGTGCTTTCAGCCCTTGTGTACTGTTGCCCGTCCTCTGTGGGATACTCCCTGCCAGGGGTAGGTAAAGCTACTTGGGGTGAGCAAAACCACATAAAATCCCTTTCCTTTAACAAGTGTGCAAATTGGAAGCGTAAAAAGTAGCTGCGTCGGGCATTGCTGTCACCTTAAAGGTGACATTCCTCCTTCTGCTGTTCCTGTAATTGCCTGGGCGGTCCGGTAAGAGCTGTTTTTGGTCTCCTCTTACTGGTCCCTTCTGCCTTGACTTACATTTTCTTCTCATCTGGGTGCACGTCAAGGTAGTTACATGGAGAGTCATTACAGAAATGAGCAAAATTAGTGTTTAGAAAGGAGTTGATCTTGAATATGGGTGTCTGTATATATATGTATTGCCTGTCATTTACCTATATATAGTGGTTTAGGAAGGGGGGTTTAAAGTAGAACAGTGAAGGAATTTGTTTTGAGTGATGCGTTAACGACGGGAGGATTGCTCTCCGACTGGAACGCCAGCTATTTTAGGAACAAGTATTTGTCTGTTTTGCAAATTTTTGTTTGTTGGTTTGGTTTGGGGGTTTTGGTTTTGTTTTTTTTTTAAGCTTTTGGTTCAGTGCTAAGACTACTTAAGAAAATCTCGCATTTTTCCCGTCACACATCGCAGCCATCTGTCAGTAGATCCCTCCTGCAGACGTGTCCCTCCTCACATCCCCAAGGCGTACTCAGTGTGGTGGCCTCCATCCGGCTGGAATGAGTAGATGCGTGGTTACTTGTAGACGTAAACCTACTTGTGTAACCAGTGTGTGTGTGATTCGGTGCAGCGTTAGAACCTGTCAGCTCGGTAGGCGCTGCAGAGGGGATTTGAACGCACTGGAATCTCGCTTTAGAAGCTTAAGGGGAAGCAAGTTCAGAGGTTTGCCATTCGAACCTTGAGGCCGCTCGGTGTCACGCGGAACAGCGTGGGAGAGTCGCTGCTGCGGGTTGCAACGAGCACTTTCAGCGGTGATGTAGGCCGTGTGCAGGTGGCTGCTCACACGAGTGGTGCTAGAGTCTCCTTTGCGAGGGGTGTTCAGAGACCATCACGGCCACAGTAAGCCTCCAGCTGCTTCTGAAACGAATGTACTCAGCGTGTTGTGTGCGGGTTGCATGCACGCGTCGTCTCTCGAGGTTTTCTAAACACAGTTTTTACAAAAATTTATAAGTAATTATATTAATATTTGGAAAAAAAACCAAACATGGAAGGGTGGTTACTAGAGCATTTGTCCATCTCTCTGACTCCCTCCGGAGAAGAGAACACCCAAAATATGTGGTAGGGATTCTGACAGATGTTGAACGCTTCAGACAAACACCACCACGCGTACCTCTCTAGTCCATAGAGTAAAGGTTTAGTAGAGGAAGTGTGCTTCGACTGTGAGTACATCTTTGTGGTAACTGCATAACTACAGTTGGAACTCCTTAAAAGTAAAGACTTGAAAGCGGAAACCAGCTACACGAGGCAAAGCTGGGATGATAGTAACAACATCGGGAGAAACGCAGGTGCTGAAATCTGCTTTTAGAATTAAAGTAGTAGAAGAAGCAGTGTTTTACTGCGGTTACGCCTACACCATATTGGTTTGGTGTCTTTGCAGTGGATGTCCAACCGCTGGGTGCGGCTGCTTCACGAAATGTGTGTATCTGGGACAGATGTGTTGTTTCTCTTCAGGTGAATCGATAGTGTGGCTGAGAGGATAGAGTTCCCGATGGCCGAAAATATTCGTATGGGTATATGGTGGTATGGGGATTAGCGACTCCCAAACCAGCACACCTAAAGAAGCTCTGCGTGAGTTCTGTGCTCCTGGGTAAGCCCTGTGCTCAGCAGCGGGATCTCCAAGCAGCAATGTCTCTTGCTCAACATGCGACTACAGGTACTTTTTGAGCGGAGGGGTGATCTCGCTTCAAGATCTGGTGTCTCCAATGTATTTTGAATATGTAGATGGCTGGGCTTTAAAACCCAGGTTTTCTCTGTGCCCTTTGCAACATGCTGTTCAATAGAGATTGAAAGCCACACTCTGCGAGTCAGTTGCCACATGATGGTAGTCACTTCTGTCGTTGGAACCACCAGGCAGACTTGGAATTTAAATGTGGGTCTTGCAGGTTTCAGGCGCAGACATACCACTGGCAGATGTCCCATGGGGTGCATCTTTCAGGTACGAGGTCTGCAAGCAGGGTAATTGAGCCTCAGAAGCTTCATGGCTCTTGGATAAGGAAAGTCGTCTGGCCCCAGAATCTCATCCTGTGTCTTGCATTCAGGTTGGTTTAGTTGAGTAGCTGTTTAGCTTATTTCTGAGCATAATTTCAGCAACTAAGTTCCCTGACCTACTCTAAGGGTTACTACAGGATATCTGACCTGGAAGCTCTAAGTAAGCCTGCAAGTTTTGCGTGTTGTAAAACGTGCATGACATCTCTGAACGTTTTTAACTTTGCTGGGTGCCCTGATTTGCAAACCACTTGCCACTGAGCCAAATGGTTCTTTTTTATTTGATAAATAAAAACCTTACCTTTCTTTATGTCACCGGATTTTCTGAGAAACTGCCGATACTGAACCATAGGTACCCAGCCCAATCTCCTGAGTGTTGAGCAGTGGTCGCAAGAATGAGGCCGTGCAATGACTTGCTAAGGGGTAAAATCCCCAAGCAAGGATATCCCATTTGCAAATTCCGAATTAAAAAATGGACAAAGCTGGCGCACTTTTGTCCAAAGCTGGCTCTTCAGCGTTGCAGACCTGGATGTTCTCGCAGGCCACAAGAACATCTTGTTCCTCCTGACCGGAAATTGTGAAAGATCTTATCAATTTTCATCAGCTTAAGTAAAGAGTTCAGTGGTCTAATTATTTGTTGAATGAAAGTATATTTCTTCTTATCAGCTTTGACTTTACTAGATTTTAATTCAATTGGGCATCCTCTTACACGCCCTGCTGCCAGGAGAACAGAAAGCACCAGCTTACCTTCCCTATACAATCCATGTGTCACTTTATTCTGTTCCTGCCTGTTTGTCACCATCCTGAACAATCCTGATCTTTCTGGTCCCTGTCACTGTCCTTCTCTCAACCTTGCAATGTCCTCACTGGGAATGGCCGGTGTGCTGCTCCAGATGAGCCTGTGCCACCAATTCAATGGCAAAACGGATTCTGTGTGATGTGCTCTGTGTTTAGATTGAAGCCACTTAAAGCAAGCAGTCTTCGAGAAATGAGGGGTTAAAATGTAAACATGTAAGACACTATGAAAAGGCTTAGCATTAAGAAATCATGGAGGTAATAAACAGGAAAGAACACTAAAAATCCCAAGGACGAGTTGGGCGGTCAGCAGGATTACAAAGTACAGATAATTTGTGCTCAAGCCAAGGGCAACACGTAACGCAAACAACCAAGGTAACTTATCAAACCAATGATGTCAGGGCGACCCAGTAGCTTCTGCTAAGTCACGGAGACCATGCCACGTACACCCGGAAACTACCCAAATTAGGAAAAGTTCAAAGTTTAACCCGAGAAAGACTCACAAGACGACCCCCCCGCTCCTGATGAAGACACAGGAACTCCCATCAGAAGACTCCCCAAAATAGAAGACTCCGCCTATACTCCACCTATATATGAATATGCATGTAAAAATGATGTAACCTATGCTCAAATTTGTATAAAAGGACTGCATTTATTGTTAATCGTTGGAACCCTTTGTCCAGGGCGGCCTGGAGGGTTCCCCAACGCGTTGTTAATAAATACCTCCTGCTTACAGACTTGAAGAGTTGGTCTCTGAGCAGTTACTATCTAGCCTTTTGGGGCAAATTCGGCATCAAGATTACAGCTGCACATTCTCCCTGTTTCGAGGTAATGTTCGAGCTCGGAACTAACCAGCAAAGCCAAATGGTTTTATGTACATCAGTGAAAAAGTCACTGCTGTAAATGTACAATCATGCAGTCAAAATGCACCGTTGACTAATTGGACAT